ATAATATTATATCAGTATTATAACACGTTTGTAATACACCTAAAAATTAACCTTTCTATAATATATCAAGGTCCTAGTGTGATGGCCTTGTTAATGATATTAACTTAATTTTCTTTGCTTAAAATCTGTATAATAATATAATAATTTTATTATACTTAATTAACTTATGTCTATTTTTATTATTTATTTATAATATTATATCAGTGTGCAAAAAGTTTTTAGGAAATTGTTTCGGTCCAAATTTGCGATTAGGAGAAATAGTACTTGGATATTGGACAATGGATTTATGCAATAATTACTATTTAGAAGAAAAATGTTTAAAAGCTGCGAGTACATGATCTCATTGTACAGGGGTAGTTTGTCGAGTCTAAAAATCATTCAGCACGCTATATTGATTTATAGCAATACGGAACTGAACGAAGTACACCGAATAATAGTATTATAACACGTTTGTACACACCTAAAAAATTAACCTTTATCATTTTTTTTTTTTTATCAAGAATTAAATTTTTCATTTATTGATCTTTACTTTATTAGTACCTATGAAATTTAATACTATTTAATTTCAATACGGATTTTTCCAATTTTTTTATAAAAGGATTTATTATTTGCTTACCACAGGTTGATATATGTTAATCTATAATATAAATAGGTTACCACGCCTCAGTGCAGTATTACCTATCTCTAGTTGTTTTAATTTCATTTTTTTAAATTATACTTTAATATTAAATTTTCGCGAAAAAAATCAAATTAATTTCATTATCAGAAAGTATAATTGATGCTTAATTTTTTTAAAAGTGTTCTACTATCATTTACATAATTATTAATAGCATAGCAATAATTTATTATTTGTGATCATTTAAGGTTCATACTGCAACGGAATAGCAAATTAAAAATTCTTATAAATAATATGGTTTTGTTTTGTGAGTTTAGGTAGGTACGTTATAAGAATAAAATAATATACCTACTGCTTTTGTACTTTTAAGTGGTAAAAATCATTAATAAGGTGCAAATATTCGATAATATATACGTTTAAACAACGATTAAACCTAGTTAAAATTATGCCTTAAAATTAAGTTTATAACATTTAAAAAAATATTATAAACACTTAATATCTAATGGTGGACGGTTCCAGATGATCAAAGGTGTTTAAATAAACATTCCTATAGTATAGTATAATATACATATATATATCTGTAGATAGTACTTGTATATATACAATGGCTGCGCAGAAACAGTGAAAACAGCAGATGAATGCGTGAACTTCCTTCCCACCTCACTCCTTGGAAATAAACTACGAGATGTGTTTAGGAATTACCCGCGTTTTTGTTTTCTTTGTAACCTTAAGTGCAACAGATGCTTATTCGATTGTTTGCAGGCCCACCAGCGTCATTGTAACCGCTAGACACTCCAAGAGCCTTTGCACCACAATAGTATCCGCTGTCATTTCTGTTTGTGCCACTGTATCCATTTGTGCCTCCATTTTCGCTGTTGTCGATGTCGTCATCACGAATGCCTGCATTACGACGGTGGTTATCGGAGACATCTCTCTGCAACATCGATTTTAGGTACAAAGACAAGGAAAATTTGACTAAGGTCTGTTCTTCATTCCTCGTAATACTATGGTACAACTTGTCCTTTAGGTATGGTGCAAACATCCTTGGGACCGATAGATATTTCTGTAATTAGACACATAAATAAAAATGGATATAATCATATCTTAGTTATTCGTGAGCGTGAAATTATATAAGAAAATACAAAATTAATGTCTTATCGAAAAACAAATAATAAATATAATATAATAGACGTACCATAATACGTATTGTCTTTATCTATATCTGAGAATGTTGTCTGAACTAATAGACGATTTATTTAAATGAAACGAATGTATTCGAACAACTAGAACATAGGTAACAATAACAGTGTCTATTTAAAAGTTTCAAATAAGCGAAACTCGTTAATATTGTATTTAAAAATAAAAAAAGTTTGTTATAATATCATAAGCGGATATGATATAATATACATTATTTAGTTCACGCGCCGACTGACATTGTAGAATACTGACAGCAACAGACTGTAACCATTGCTATTTGCTGGATTCGGCGGTTCAAAGGATCGATTTTTTGAGCAAACACTGCTGGTTGCCATGGTTATGCAAGTTAATCGAATTTCAAGGGATACCAATTCCGAGGAAGTAAAGCCCACCTGTCTCCATAAATATCGTGTCACACACTCATACACGCTTGCGCACACACACACACACACACGTACGGGCGCGCGCGCGCGCACACACACATAACGTACATAAGCACACACACGCGCGCGCGCGCACACACATAACGTACATAAGCACACACACACGCGCGCACACACACACACACACACACACACACACACACACACACACACACAC